TATTAGGCCGTCAAAGGAAATATTTAAAGTTGTTTATCTGGGTGGTGGAGGTTTACTCCGAATGAGACTCTGGGGGTAAGGACTCTGTGCCTGTGATTGGAAGGTCGATGGTTCAAATTCCACACTCAGCACAGTGGGTCACCATTGGGCCCTTGAGCAGGGCCCTTAACCTCAGTTGCTACAGTGACTGGCTGACTCTGCTTTATGAACTTTGTGTCACTTTGGATAAACAAAACTGCTAACTAAATGTAGCAATTTAATATTGGAATATATGGAAATGCCCTGTAAAAGAATTTCTTCTATTCTCCAAAAAGTTACTGACGGCTGGAAGAACATCGCTTCGGTTCTCAAATCTCTCTTCAGGGGCCCCCCAGCCATTACATGTATTATGTATTTTACCATTAGCTCACTTAATTCATTAACTTAATTAGCTAAATATAGGTATTGATTAGCCATACCTAGTATGCTAATAGCAGAATCAACAAATCACAGGTATATTGGATGGTTACTGAAAATATTGGGGTAACTTTGGTACAGGGCTGGCGCTGAGTGTCCTGGTGCCCTAGGTTAAGCTCTGCTGAGACCTCCACTGCCCCCCCCCCCCAGTAGCAGTGTATCTGCCTGCTAGTTAGCTAGCTCGCTTCTGTTTTACAAGAGAAGTACTGAAATATTACTAGTGGAAATAACTGTAAAATCTCAGAATGCAGCCAGAGGAATATCTTCAGATTATTTTCACTGTCGCTTTTGTGCCCCCTAAACAAATGGCGCCCGGATCTGTTGCCTATGTCACCTATAGAGCAGACCAGCCCTGCTTTGGAGTTTTGAAATGCTTATGCTAACATACTTTGACAGACATGATCTAGGTTTACAGCAACATAAAGGTCATTTAAGCATGATATTCCTTGGCACCATAAGACATTTGCACAGTGCTTTATGTTGGACATTTCCTGTAGTTACAAATTATTGGACACAGTGCCTAAAGTGCCCAGAGTATTTAACGTTTAGCAGCTGGGGGGTGGATATTGCATCTCACCCTATCCAATCCTAAGGTTCCCCGTGGTTGCAGCACGCCCAGGAAACGGTTTGACCAATAGGCACAGGTGCATTTCAGGAGCGAGGGGTGGTTTAATTAAGACAGGGTTGGGGGGGCACATACGTTCTGACTGCATTTGAGTCTGGTCATTCAGGCGTTTGCCATGGACAGCTAGTTAACTGGAGGCCCCCTCCCGACTCTCTCCCTACTGTGGTCGTGACTCTGGGTTAGTCACTTGCCGCGCTGGGTGACGTGATGCATCCGGTTCAGGCGTGACTCACCTGGGATCTTCAAGCCAGGCCCCCCTTCCGGGTGGAGAGGAAAGGGCGACTCTGACCGTGTGCCGCTTTGAGCTTGTGTAGAGAAAGACCACACAGACCCTGCAAGGCTGCACAGGAGAAGGCAACCAGTGAAGCCCCTGACTGTTCTCCCATAATCCCCCTCACACGCATAAATCATTCATAAGCAGGATTGCCTCCCCACCTGCCAACACATACACAACGCCTCTTTGCATCTCTCTCGTTGACAGGAGCATGTTTTGGCAGCAGTTCGGAAGACTCTCCACCGTCACACTGACCTGAGATTTCATGATGGCGAATTGGATGGGACCGGATTGTCAGGGGGGTTATGGTGACGCATCCCAGTCCTGAGGTCATCTCACATTGCTTGTTGCCCATTAATATACAGCAGGTGAATAAGCGGGGGGTGCAGGTTGTCAATATATCTTTAAACAGCACATGTTTAATGACGGGACCTTTCTTCATGCGTGATACAAGGTCATGCTGTCTAACAGGGCAGTTCCCATGTTTCCCCATGACTGAGCATGTGCGTGTGTGTGTGTGTGTGTGCGTGTGCGTGTGTGTTCCTGTCACAGCACGCCTCCCCCAGACCGTGGGACTGATCTGAGACACAGCCCTTCCCACTATAATTAGCAGATCTAATTTGAATGTCATTGTAAACGACGGTTGTTAGCAGTTACCTGTTGTTATGGTTACAGCCCCCCCCCCCACCCCCCTTGGCAAGAAGGCTGGTGCGATTAGAGCCAGGCAGTCAGGAGACCAGACATTAGTATTCTCATGATAAAAAGCATCACCAAACAGCAAGGCACTATAATCTGAACCGTACAGTTACACTATCCAGGTTAAGCCTGTCCAATCATTGTCACGTGCAATACAAAAACGGTGTCTTTAAAAACAAAAGATGGAGCCAAAACATGAACTGCGAATGGATGAATGTTTCTGAGTATGGATGGGCTGTGGACCAATCTCGTTAATATGCATCGTCCAGTCATGAATATCGCAGGAATTACCACGTGGATGATGTCGCTCTGCCATTTCATAATGGCCTTCGGCAGATATTAATCTCTCTGCGGACCCGCTTTCGTTCTGATGCCGCGGTTTAATCGAGAATGTCGCTGGGGAATGATGGCTTGGGCACGGATGCAGGGAGAAGAAGGCAGGACAGTAATATAAATAATAAACACACATTCCGGGGCCACATTAAAGATACAAGCAGGGGCCACATTAAAGATACAAGCAGAGGCCACATTAAAGATACAAGCAGGGGCCACATTAAAGATACAAGCAGGGGCCACGTGCGAGAGGGTAATTCTCACCATCATTTCAGATTGACTCTTTAATCCAAACAAAATGAGGTTCAAGGTCAGGCCTGAACATCAGATTCAAATGGAATATATTCTCATTTCATACGTGTTCACATGCAAATGCATGGTTTAAAATAATATGTGTCACAATTGACCTAATTGACCTTATTTAATAGGCTTATAACCGAAACCTCAGTATTTATACAAGTATCAATAGATTTGGTTTTTGGAAAATGCATGGAAAGTTGAATAATTCCCATTTTTATTGTGTGTGCGTGTATATATAGTATATATATGTATAAGCACATATTTGGAGAGCCTTTGATCAGATTTATTTATATACTCTTCTTTGTATATCATGCAACACATTTACGGCGGTAGACACATTCCTTTTCTCCTGTTTGGTTGTATTTGTTATATAATGCGCTGAAAATGTCTCCTGCATCAATCGGCCGTGATCACGCAGGTAAACCAAGTGCGCTGCTCTCTTACATTACGTGGTACGGGAACACTGCCCCCTTCTGGTTGGCATGTCGGCATCGCTGTACCACATGCCGCATGCGACGCCGTCGACCTGAATAAAGGCGCGATTACACGAGGGCTTCGGCAAAGGTCGCAGGCCGCCTGACCAGTAGCTCCGGGGGTATATCAGCAGCCGCACCATGACGCGTCCTGAAAAATCACCGTACTCCCCTCCCGGCCGTTGTTTTTCCTGAACGACGCTAACGGCGGCCCGTCTGTTGCTAGGACACGGAATGGCAGCAGTTCAGCCGTTCATTAAACCGTTTTTAAAGCCCATTTTCTGTATCTGTATCGGTGCAAAGTGATGCGAATCCCTCACCGTCCAGCTGTGAGGGTATTCCTCCTCAAATGAAGCGAGGGGGAGGCAGAAGGACGGGGTTTGTGGGGGTGGAGGGACCCAGAGCAAGGCGTGCCAAAGTAGGTTTCGCAGAGGGTTAACCCAGAACCTTCTCCTGAGTCCTAATCCCCAGCGTGGCGGCCGTCCCCTAATGAAAACAATCAGAGTCGCCGGCAGCAGTGCTGACAGGCTGGTGACCCCAGGAGACACTGCTGTCTGAGCTAATCCCCCCCCCCCACCGCCACCACCATTAGGCAGATTCAGATGTCGGGGATACGGCCCCTCCCAAGTCACCATTCCCATCCGCAGCCAGACATGTGATTTAAGTTCCCCTCAGAATGGTCTCTAACAGTAAACACAATCTGTCTCACTTGTCCTACTGTAACCTCATTTTAGGTGCCATCGCACGATTCGGTCCTAAGGCTTCAGACGTGAACATGCAATAAAAGTACACAGGGGTATGCCATTTCCCGCGGCCCAAGGAGAACTTTCACACTCCAGCCATGTCTGTATCCTACTCCCGTTCACTAGCGGGGCTAACCGAGACCCCCACGTGCGTCATTTTATAGACGCCTGTGTCAGGGGTAGGCAGCCTGAGGAGTGTAATATGCCACTTTGTTTCAAGGAAATGGAGGAGAACTGGATGTTTATGAAATAAATAGACATTTTAGTCATGTTCACTGACCTTCCTGAAAAGCTATTGAATCATGTGCCAAAAGTATTAGTGAAAAGGAAATTGTTTTATATTTCTGTCCATACTTATTCATTACGGTTCTGCTTTGCCTGGTAATACAAGACACGGTAACCTTAAACGCTGGTGTAACATTAGTGTACCCTCACGTGAAGCTGTTACGCTATTCGTGCTGCAGTTTGCACACTCTGGAATGTTTTATGCTTTATCAAGAACAGTCTGTTATTCAAACAGTGTTACCCTACGTGCTCCTATGTTTTCAGAAGTAAATGGGCACGTTGAGTTTTGTGGTTCCGTATCAAACAACATGCAAACAAACACAGGAAGCTGTTGCTGACAACCACAGAACGTAAGGTTGGGAATGGAAAGACGATGGGAAAGCGCTGGCTTTCTAAAAAGGGATTTTCTGTTTTTTTTTAGAAAGGATAGTACCTGATACTTCTACTGCGTTTAGAAATACGATAATATAACTAATAATAATTTAAAAAAAATCTGTATAAACAATTACATTAAATTGTCAAGTGTACCGCAAAAGGACACACGCATACAATTTTTTTGTACAGATACATTTTACGGCTGATATCACTTCGTCATCATATTTAATATGTTACATATGACTTAAGTAAACGCAAAAACGACATTTTATAAAACTGTTGCAAGAGTGGCTCGAGCGTATTTAACCCCGCTGTCATTTTATATTTAAAGACTAGGGAAATACATGAGCGAATAAAAGGCGAGGACTACGTGCTGCGAAGAAACAGGCGATGCTTTTAGTGTCCTGACGAAACACACATGCACACTTGGGAGTGTGATCTGTTTGGGGAGAGGCGCAAAAAAGCGCACCGCCGCCGCCGCTGTCCGCGCAGCTGAAGCGCTGGAGTCCCGGAGCGCGCGCCGACGCACGGCTTTCCTGACAATCAGAAGAGCGCTGATCGTCACTCCCTAGTCCGGATCTGGGCTGTCGTTTTATGGCATTATTTACCCAGTTTTTCAAGACGAGGGAGTCGGCTCCGGATTGAAGGTGTATGAACGCACGTATATCAATATGCGTGCTTATACCCGGAGAAGGAAGGCGTTAACCTGAATCTGTCTGAATCTCTTTAGCTGGGGGGGAAAAGTGTGCGGGGATCGCGGAAAATCTGATCCAAGTATCCGAGTGTTTTGTGGAGATGAATATTTAATGGACTGGGCATGGAGATAGCCTTAGTAAGTTTTGAGAACGGCGCCGCTAAGGGCAGCGGTGGGAGCCCGCACGATGGCTGCTCAAACGCGCTGAATATTCCCCAGTCAAGCTTCGTGCAGACGGGTCTGGACGGGGGCTACGGCAAAGAACTGAACACCCTGGGAGCCCCGCAGCAGGGATCGTGGAAAATAAACGACATGAACAATACTTTCAGCAGCAGCGAGAATGCGATCGATGCCCTGTTGCGAGCCGATCACAGTCCGCACCTCTTTGACGGGGACCTGCTAGATATGGATTTGGAGAACGAGAGCAACGAGCGGGTGCTCATTAATATCGCCGGTCTGAAGTTTGAGACCCAGCTGGGGACCCTGAATCAGTTCCCCAACACTTTGCTTGGAGATCCGGACAAAAGAATCAAGTACTTTGACCCACTTAGAAACGAGTATTTTTTCGACCGCAACCGGCCAAGTTTTGACGGGATTCTTTACTTTTATCAGTCGGGGGGGAAAATTCGCAGACCCGTCAATGTCTCCATCGATGTTTTCGCAGATGAAATAAGGTTTTATCAACTGGGTGAAGAGGCAATGGAGAGATTCAGAGAGGATGAAGGCTTTATTAAAGAGGAGGAGAAACCTTTGCCCCAGAATGAGTTTCAGAAACAGGTATGGCTCATATTTGAGTATCCCGAGAGCTCTAGTCCGGCTAGAGGAATTGCTATTGTCTCTGTGATCGTGATCACCATATCTATCATCACCTTTTGCATGGAGACGTTACCTGAGTTTCGAGACGAGAGAGAACTACCTGGCAACATCCGAGCCGAAAACAGCACCCAGACACACTCGTCGCTCACCCTGTCTGACCCCTTTTTCATAATCGAGACCACTTGTGTGATATGGTTCACTTTCGAGCTCTTTGTGAGGTTCTTCGCGTGCCCTAGCAAGTCGGAGTTCTCCAAGACCATCATGAACATCATCGACATCATGTCCATCATGCCCTACTTCATCACGGTGGGCACGGAGCTGGCTGAGCAGCAGGGCCAGGAGCATAACAATGGGCAGCAGGCAATGTCACTGGCCATCCTGAGGGTCATCCGGCTGGTCAGGGTGTTCCGCATCTTTAAGCTCTCAAGACACTCCAAAGGGTTGCAGATCCTAGGCCAGACCTTGAAGGCCAGCATGAGGGAGCTCGGCCTCCTCATCTTCTTCCTCTTCATCGGGGTCATCCTCTTCTCCAGCGCCGTCTACTTCGCGGAGGCCGATGAGCCCGAGTCCCATTTCTCCAGCATCCCCGATGCCTTCTGGTGGGCTGTCGTAACCATGACAACCGTCGGCTATGGAGACATGAGACCCGTGACTGTAGGGGGGAAAATTGTAGGGTCTCTGTGCGCCATCGCCGGAGTTTTGACTATTGCCTTGCCGGTGCCCGTCATCGTGTCCAATTTCAACTACTTTTACCACAGAGAGACTGATCAAGACCAGTCCTCCCTCAGAGATGACCTGACCATTGACCATACAGTCGGAGAACTGAAAAAGAGCCATAGTCGGTCCTCTCTGCGGTCCACGGGGGATGCGGAAAATGGCGCTGAGGTCGAAATACCCACTGAAAAGGCCGACATTAAAGCAAACAGCAATGTGGACATCAGGAGATCCCTGTACTCACTCTGCTTAGATGCCAGGGAAACGGACTTGTAGTTCAGTCTGTGTTCACCCTTTGTAAACAGACTATGTTTTTCTATAAAGAGATTTTTTCTAAGTTACCAGTTAATTAATGCAGACAAACTGAAGCAGATCCACTGTTTCTCCATATACATCTGTGTATACAGTATATAGCTATTTTACAGCCAGAATCAACAGGCTTTTCAACAGTGGTGAGTTTAAGGTAAAGCTGATTCCAAGAGCATAATAGAATAGCACAGTTTGTCATCACATTTAGACATAAATAAATATTTGTAAAAGCATGTAAGCATATTTGTGCATTTACAGTTAATCAGGTTTCAGATAATTAAGTTATATATTCTGATTATATTTGTAAGAATAATAGGTTTACAGATTCAGTTACAGATGACTGAACACAGTTGTATCGGAAATAACTTCTTTAGACGCTTAAATTTTTTATAGAAATTAGGGTGAGCAGATGTTTCTAACTTCCGTGGAGTCGATCGATACTACGATAATATTATCAGCTCTTTCTACACGTTATTTTGCTGTTGTTCCTAAAGAGCCAAATGATTTTATCGATATTTAAATATAATCGTATGTTGTTTTTAAAAATGATTGTTTAGTGTAGAGTACTGACAGTTTAGACCAGCCGAAACACAGTTTATTCGTGTATAGCGTAAAAGTACTTCAATAAGGCAGTTTTTTGGTGTACTGTTTGGTATGTTGTTTATTCGTTTTTTTAAATGTGCGAAGATATATTTTATACAAGATTTAGCGGGCATCGATTCTTTTTCGTCGTTATCTTCTCAAACCTCGTAAGAATGACTTTAAGAAGAGTTGAAGATTTAAGATTTTATTTACTGACGAACTACAAGCCTGGCTTTAGAAATGCACTGAATTCAACAGCGGTGTTTGAAAGTAAAGATGAAGAGAGAAACTGGAATATCAGTGAAGCTCGGACAGGAGACAGGTGACATCTTTCGAAGAGGCCAGAATGAAGGTGAACTGACAGCCCAAGGAACGACTAGATTCTGCCATTCGATACAGATGCAAGGTTAGTGTTATATATTATACTAATAGGTGTTTTCGGGCTGTTTTGTTTTATAAATCGTTTTATTTGTTTCATCTTTATACATTAATGATTGTCACAGATAAAAAAGTGTACGACCGCTGATATGAAATTAATGACAAAACGCGTGTCTCCGCTCCGTGTAGGAGGGCATGGAGAGCAGAATCTGTATAGCGCCTTTTCAGGTAGCCCGTTCAATACCAGCACGGTGGTTTGGCCACATTCGGGAAACCGGCCTTATTAACCAGCTAAATGAAATAAAGTAGACCCATTAAAGACACTTAAATAATCTCATATAATCAGGTACGTAATATATTACGAGGTTTGCTATTTACAGTGGTTGAATTTGTGTGTTTGTGTGTAGGTCAGATGTACATTACTTCGTGGGGACCAAATGTCCCCACAATGTGATAAAACCCTATTATTTTGATGTTGTGGGGGGCGTTTTTTCAGTTCCTTCTTTTTCCGTTACTCATGGTTAAGGTTAGGGCTGGGTAGGGGTTAAGGTTGTCATTGTTGGGATTATGGTTTTGCCCATAGAAATGAATGGATGGTCCCCACAAAGGTATGAGTGTCGTTGCTCTGGTTTATGTGTTTGAGTATATATAAATTTAAGCACTGTCAATACGATATAAACATTGTGTGTAATATATGCAGCATATGTACTTTTATAGCAAGTACATACTTTTATAGATATAAAAATCATAACATTTACTCAAGTAAAGCAAATCAATTTATATCTTTCAGAAGAGCAAAAATATTGACACTGACAGTGCATTATAGAGTATGTGAGTAAATTACTTAATGAGGTAAACAGGTGTTACTGAGGTGACCACCTTCATTTAGGTTAAATCGCAGCCCCTATACAAGCTACTGTGCAGTTCTTACTCATTGTTACTCCTACTGTTTACATTTTTGGAAGACTTCAGTCCTTCACCCTAAGGTACAACAGCATAATCCCCAAAGTGTTAAATGCATCAGATTTCTTACATTGGCTACTCAGTGCTGCTGTATTTTATTATTAGCCAGCAGTGTGTAGAGTGTGTAAGAACAGTGTGTAAGAACAGAGTGTAAGAACAGTGTGTAAGTATAGTGTGTAACAGTGAGTGAGCGTCAGAAAGAGGGTTTACGGGTGTCCGACTGCAGCAGGGTGTCTGAGCATAGCACGGAGCATGTGAAAGGGCCAGCGAAAGGCAAACGTTTGTCTTGGTTGCGTCCGTAAATGTCAGCACGGTGTTTGACCTTTTGGGCGAGCCGGCAGCCGTCGGCATCTGTGTCACATGCGTCACTTCGCCGGGGTTCAGGCCGCAGGGTGACTGAGCCTCGCCCGCAACTGGGAGGTGGACATCCAGGTATAGGGAGGACGAGGATAGGGGAAGAGCAGCAGGATGTGGACTCTGCAATCCTGAACCTGCTGAACGGTCACATGGCCATACTCCGTGCCCCCGGATGAGCATCAGTGGAGACGGGATCCCCTAGGAGCTGGGCAGCATTACCTCTGAGCGGGGTTTCCGTGTGACCTGAGGGATCTCTCTGCACGGTGCGTGCTGCTCCGCTGGCGGGCTGCGATGCTCCCGGCGCTCACTCCCAGCATTATCTCTGATCTCGTAAACGCCGGCTGCCATGGCAACGCCGCTGACGCACTGGAAGGCCGTGCGGAGATGTCCTCTTTTTAAACGCTTCTTGACTGCCTTATGGTAGAGGGTGCATTGTTGGGGATGATTGCGTGCTGGGATCTTTGTGAAGGTGGGAGTGCGCGGTTGTGCTTTTTAATTTTTCTGCTCCGACAACCGTAGGGAGGCGGAGAACCGCGGTGCTGATTGCATCGCCCCTTGAGGACCCTGCTGTTGCTCTGTGTGGCACTCACTGGAACGCTTTTGTTCTTTTAACCATGGCCATCGGCTGGTAAACCGAACCCCCGCAGTCCACAAGGAAGAGTGTCAGGCAGAGAAGCTGTTGAAACCGCACCATGAGGAAATTTACTAAAACCTGTTATTATTTTGGACTGCCAAACAAAATAGCATGTACACCCCTTAGAGGCAGCCTGGCTCCCTGTTTCTGGAATGTTTCTCATGAATAGAATGGAAGCCCAATAGCTTCAGCCTTTCAAAATGAGTGTGTTGGTGGGAGCTGCAGGACAGACCCAATTTACTTTAAATGTGTTAAAAAATATGACTTGGGGTTAGGGGGTCAGAGTTCCGACTCTTCCGAGTTCCAGAGGTCAGAGGAAACTGCGACCCAGGCTCTCCATTGGTGGGATGACCATGCGTCGTCGAACCACTTCCTGATTATAAGCCAATGGTTAGCGATGGAAATGAAGTTTACATTTCTGGACTGACAGCACACAGGAAAGGTTTCAGTCCCTTACGTCTCTCAGCACAGCTAGTGCTGGCTCTTTGGAGATGGCCAGGATGCTGCAGGAGGGCCCTGGATGTGCAACCTTCACTGGCCTGCAGTCCCTACCCATGTCAGAAGATGACCGTCCTGATAAAGTAGGACCACTGCTGCAGAAGTGCTTTTAAGGAAATCTTAATGGACATCTTAAAAAGAAGAAAATCCAAATCAGTTATTGGGCCGTCGAATCCACACATTTAGACTGAACCAGCTAGAGAAAGACTAGGGAAATTCATTCCATAAGGACAAAAGTCTCCTTGAGGTATCTGAGCTACCTTTAAATTGTTTTAAAATGCTAGCTGTGATTAGCTCTTTCCAGACAGATATTAGGAAAAGTTGGGAATCTGTCTGCTCCTGACATTTGGAGTTCCCCGGCTTGATCCGGCTGTTAGGTAACATGGAGATGCTAAAGGTTACTCCAAGGCTACTTGCCTTAGCAGAAGCTCCGCGGTCTTCCAGGGGTGGTGTCTCGCCACCCGCACGTGATGCCGTTCCCTGTCACGGCGACATACATCGAGACATTTCCTGTCGCGCATTATTCCGGGAAACTTATCCCACAGCCTATAATTAGCCCACATGCTAGTATTAGAGAGACCCTGGGGCTTCACAAAGGAGGGCTGAAGTTACACCTCGCCAGGGGTTGTGACATGTGTGTGCGCTTCCTCTAGCTACCACAGGGGGCGTCAGATATCGTAGGGTTTAACCTCTCCTGTCAGGCATGCCTAAATCCACAGGATTGTCCTACTGAACTGTTACCCTTAGTTGTATTGTCAAAGGGGTTCGGTGGCTGAAATGTTCAAGGCATTTGTTTTTCCTAGTGATTTACAGTAATGTAATTACATGGTAAACGGTTGTTTTCGTGAGGGACCTTGTTCTTGTTTCACATTTATTTAAACCTGTGCTTATTGTCACAACACAATAAGCTGACATTAAATACACATTATAGATTAATTCTAAGTCCACAGCTTCCATCCAGCACATTCCTTCACCATGTTTCCTGGTGACAACCTGCGACAGGAAATGGCAGAGAGCATGTGAAATGGCACCTGTTGCATGTGTTCAGGGGGCCACCGTGGTTGGGGTGGGGGGGGGGGGGGGGGTGGCGTTCCTGAGTAAATCTGAACTTCCTGAATTACATTGTCAGTGGGGGGGGGG